ATCAGTGACATAAAATCACCTTGGAAAACCTGTTTCCGAGGCTAGTAAGACTTGCAAGGATCTGATGAAAAGAGCTAGATGCAACCAACATGGGGTTTGAAACCGCACAGGCAGGTCAGCACTGGCTGCAAAGGTGATCCCTCACATCACAGAAAGGCATTATGAGCTTCAATTCCCATCAAGCAACCATCTGCACATGGTGCAGGTCATGATGCGATCCCATGAAAAGACTACAATTACTTCCTATTGTAATAATGAACTACCCTTATGTGAACTTACCCCAAATGAAAGACAGGCTGTGTGCCTCATAAGGATGCCTTGGTAAATTCCTGTGGGTGAAGTTCACTCTTTGAGGCTCCTTGAAAAACCTAATTACAGAATTTTCCATGTGAAATGTCTCAAGACCAGAATGTTCTATAAGACAGAGATGACACTTCACTGGAAATGCCCCCTTCTAGATATACAACTACCAGTGTCAGGAAAAAGAAGACAGAGCTAGAAAACTGACAAGGAGTTACAGAGTAAAATCATATAGCCAGACAGAGGTTCCAACATCTCTATTCTCTCCTATAGCTGATTTTTACAGCTTCTTTCATTTGGCTCTAGAGCCACGGTGTGTTCTATGTGCATTTATTTCATCTATGCTGTGAGAACTGCAGTTTGGCAACATTGCCAGGCAAGGGTAGCCTCGGTAGCAGTTATTGAGAACGTATTCCCACACTAGTCTTTTCATTGAAGGAGGGAGGGAGGGAGGGAGGGGAAAGAAAAGAGGAAACAGCATCATTTCTAAAGAGTCTAGAGTAGCCCAGATCATACAGAACGTTAGGACAGAAGGGAGTGAGGCAGGTGACTAATAAAAGTCATTCATAGCTGGGCGGTGGTGGTGCACGCCTTTAATCCCAGCACTCGGGAGGCAGAGCCAGGTGGATCTCTGTGAGTTCGAGGCCAGCCTGGTCTACAGAGCGAGATCCAGGAAAGACGCAAAGCTACACAGAGAAACCCTGTCTTGAAAAACCAAAAAAAAAAAAAGTCATTCATTCATCCTGTTTTTTACTAAGCCGTCTGCTCTGGAGCAGGTTCTGTGTTAGATCTGGGGTGCAGCTATCAGGGATGCTGCCCCTTGTCTTCACTAAGTTCTCAGGAATAAGATGACGTAAACAAGTGCTCATATGGTCTTCAGGTCTGGGATTGCTAAACAGCACAGAGCAGTGCTCTAGCAGTGAGCCTCCATGATTGACTGAATGAATGTTTGGAAGCACACCAAAACATATAGCTTATATATGAAGCTATGGCAGACATGAACAAGAGACATCACTTTTACTCAGGAAACGCTTCAGGTTATCTGATTCAGTCCTAGGAAGGTATGAAAGGACTTCTATCTAGTACCCTCCCTGCTTTACTAACTAGCTCACCAGGTCTCCACACTCCCACTTCAAACTTTACTGTTACTGTGTCAGATGTCCATTTATCACCAAATTTTAAAGAATTCCCAGTGACCCATTTATAGTCATAAGAAATAGCCACCTCAGCCAGGCGGTGGTGGTGCACATTTTTGATACCAGTACTTGGAAGGCAAAGACAGGTAGATTTCTGAGTTTGAGGCCAGCCTGGTATATAAAGACAGTCAGGGCTAAACAGAGAAATGCTGTCTTGAACCCCACCCCCAAAAAAGAAATAGCTACTTCACTTCTAGAGTCTACAAAAATAGTATCAACATGTACAGTTTAATATATTTACATTGGGTTTTCTTCAACCTGAAACAGAGAAATTATGCAAAACCATAAATATGCAAAACCAAACAATGCCACAATTCCCCCATCTTTAAATGTCTCCCAAACTGCTCATATACCAATAAACTCTGGTTTGCCAATAACTTATTTCACAAATCTTTTTAATACAGAAGCACATGGTCAATGAAATTAAGACATTTCCTACAAAGTCTGTGCACATTTATTCAAAGGAACCTTTGAAAAGCTGAGAAAATCCTCCCCAAATCATTCTACCGAATGAGCTGGTAAACCTGCCATTTCACATTCAAGGAAATGGACAGTTCATTCACAGTATGGAAGTTCAAGTTTCCCAATCCTAAAAATATTAAATAAACTATTTAAGTACAAAGGAAAAGCCATTATAAAATGGCTCAAAAAGAATTTATCCATCAATACTGCTAAAAGGAAATCTGTCCAAAAGAGGATTGTGAAGCAGCAGCAGCAGCAGCAGCAGCAGCAACAGCAGCCCGAGAAGAAGTGGGCTGTCCAGGGCTCTTTCTAAGGTGGGCACTGGCTCACATGCAACTAATTCTAAGAGACCAAAACTTCCTCACTGAAATAACCGCATAACACATAATTCATTTACAAGTTAAACGAGTATGATCTTACTTTAAACTTTATTATGAAGTAACTTCAACACTATCTCTAAAAGTATATATGTATTCTGATACTAGTCACATACCACAGACTTAAATGAGCTATCCGAGGTATTTGAGTCTAAAAATACATATTTTTTCTCACTTTGAACTAGAGAGATTGGTATTTAAATAAAATGTCATCAAATGTTGCATTAAATGTGCCAGAATAAAAAGATTCAACATAAATGCTTCAAATCTATTATGTAGAGAATTCTCCCAGCCCCTGAAGACTGTGTAACTATGCCCCTTCATCTATTCTTACCCCCCCCACCACCACACAGCAAATTAGAAATAAACAGGCAGTGCAGACAATGCATCGAGGATCACAGGTTCACACAGCACAATGAAGCCAAGGTGAACTGGGAAGACATCCACAGTTCCCAGCATCGTCAAGGGTCTACCTGTTTTCCTTACAGTCACTGCGACTACTCCAGTCTTCTTTACTCAGTGCTTCAAAGAGAAATACAGATCCACTTTGAAAAAAAGGCCTTTAATAAAACCAGGACTTTAGCCGGAAGGTGGTGGCACATGTCTTTAATCCCAGCACTCAGGAGGCAGAGCCAGAGGGATGAGGATCTCTGTGAGTTCAAAGCCAACCTGGTCTACAGAGTAAGATCCAGGACAGGCACTAAAACTACACAGAGAAACCCTGTCTTGAAAAAAACAACCAACCAACCAAACAAACAAACAAACAAAACCAGAACTTGTTACTTGCAAAACTAAGCAAACTGTTAAAAAAAAGACCTTACTTAAAAAGCCATGTTTTCCTCTGTTGGCATCACCAGAACTATGTTCTTTCCCACCGTTACAAACTGGAGTCCCAGAACCAAGGAGTGAAAGGGCTCAACTTCTTCAACGGAAAACTTTCTCTTACTACTGATTTAATACATTTCAATAAAACCTATCTTCAAGATTTTAGTTTGCTGAACTAAAAATTCATAAGCACAACACAAATTTGAAAAGATTAAACTTCCTAGCATGTATGAAAAACAAAGCTAGTGTGGTGGCACATTTGAAATTCCAGCACATGGGAGCATGAGGGGGAGGACTACAGGAGACTTCTTCACAAGGAAATGAAACACACCCAAACCACATCTACAGAGCTAACCTTTCAGCTGTGTGATCCAAAGAGAAAAGAACATTACAGACTGATTTTCAGAATCCAGCAGAAAAAAAAAATCTGCTTGAAACAGAAATACAACCAAGTTTTTTTGTTTTTTTTTTTTTCAAGACAGGGTTTCTCTGAGTACCCGTGGCTGTCCTAGAACTTGCTATGTTGACCAGTGTGGCCTCAAACTCAGAGATCTGCCTGCCTCTGCCTCCTGAGTGCAGGGATTAAAGGCATGCATCACTACCACCCAGTAATAAAGCTATTTCTAACCCAGCATTTTCAACGTGAGCTCTAAATTCTGAAAGAGCTGAGTTACATTTGCTAATACTAACTATAAAGAACAAGCAAGATTTGGGGAAGTATTCAGAATCTGTTTTGTTTTTTGAGACAGGATCTCACTATATACCTCTGGCTATTCTGAAACTCACTATGTAGATTAGGCTGACTTTGAACTCACAGAGATCCACCTGCCTTTAGAACTTGGAATCTGAAGTTTTTATAATTCTCCGTCACTTAAAAAGTTTAAAGCAGAGGATAATTTGAGGCTAAAATAAAATCAATGTCTAAAACATAAAGCTGGTTAGGGGCTGGCCATGGTGAATCTTTAACTCCAGCAGAAACAGGTGGGTCTCTGTGAGTTCAAGGCCAGCCTGGTCCAGATAGTGAGTTCCAGGGTGGCCAGGGCTACACAGTGAAACACTGGCTTTAAAAGCAAAACAAAACAAAATAAATTCAGCTGTGAATATAAAAAAAAGTACTTGCTTTGTTTGCACAAGGCTCTAGGAGCAATACAAGACTGGGGGGGGGGCAATACCTTCTATTTAAATGAAAACTAGCACAAAGTCCAGGAGATTCTGATCCCAGTTGCTAACAGCTCTCTCTCCTTTTAGACAAACAATTCTCTGGCTTTCAAGACAGTCACTTTTTTTTTTTTTTTTTTTTTTTTTTTTTTTTTTTTTTTTTTTTTTGGTTTTTCGAGACAGGGTTTCTCTGTGTAGCTTTGCGCCTTTCCTGGAGCTCACTTGGTAGCCCAGGCTGGCCTCGAACTCACAGAGATCCGCCTGGCTCTGCCTCCCGAGTGCTGGGATTAAAGGCGTGCGCCACCACCGCCCGGCAAGACAGTCACTTTTAATACAAAGGTAACACTATGTATCAACACAATGCATTCTAGTAATTCTAAACAATAAAATTCTATACATTTTGCTCGTGCTTTGAAAAAACAGACAAAAGTGAGGCAATAACTATATGACAAAGGACTTTTTCCAAAAAGAGGACCACAGGTAGGTGACTTGACCCAACCAGGATTCTCCTCCTCCCCTTCAAAGAGGATTCCTTGATAGGACTGAAAGAATGTTTTCCAAAGTGAATTGGTGACTGCGATGTTGGCAGACAGTATACTCAACACTGGCCTGATTCAGTTCTTATGGAAGACTGGATAAGAAGAACAGAAAATACTAAAATCACTTACACATTACAATGAACAGCTATCCATCTATTATTTATTTAGATGAAATATTTAGTTATAAAAGAAACTCAGCTCGATGTAAATATTCTCAATAACCACACACACAGAGGCACAGAGAAAAGTACTGCACGTCACTTCTGTGCATGCGTACACAATGCTCACAAGCACGGAGTCAAAGCGGCTGTGTCTCACAAACCGTATGACCGCACTGCATGGATGCTTCCTGTATCTACATGAGTGCTGAAACTTGCAGTGCAGTTATATTTTGGCACAGATAAAGAAAATCTTTGTTAGTTCATCAGTCTATTTTAATATCCCTGTTAAACGATATCAACTGCACATAAATTCCAAGACACTTGGAAGAATCCAGAAAAGGGAAAAGAAATGGTGATTTTTTTTTTTAAGTGCTGATGCTTTTCACGCCCAGGTTCAGTCACGCCAGCTGGGAGAGGTGTTAGCTATGGCTTTATTCCTTTTGAATCTGAAACTGTAGTCACTTCCATGACATTTCAAAAACTGCATCAAGAGTGATTTTTTTCATGATTCTGATTCTTCTAATTTTAAATCTCATTTAGAAAACAACTTCTGAGAACTGAGAAGGTATCTGGACAGTCTGCAGCTGCTCAGAGTCAAATTATCCTGTCCTAGATCCCCTACTGAACTAGACAGAAGGGAAATGGAAAAAAAATCAAAGCCACCCTTTCTCTCTGCAAACAAAGTGACTGAAATATATGAGCCCCTCAGATATGGCATCCATTAAGGGGTCCTTTGCTTCTAACTGTGTAAGGGTCCTTGGCTGAAGTGTGACTTGCACAAGAAGTACACACAGCCCCTGAGAGGCCCTTTAATCCTCGTTGGAAAACACTGTTGGAGAGACTATAAATGATACAGTTGCAGAAACTGTTACTAATAGCAAGCCAGGTAGTCAGGAAAGATGCAAGGCGGCTGCTGCAGCCAGTAGAACTCTCCAGCAGGAAGTAGATGATGTATGGCAACCAGAGGACATAAAACACACTGGTGATTCTGAATAGGACCATGGCATAGCGCTTATCAGGACAGGTCTGGGCTTCCCCAGTCTCCCCATTCTGGCTGCTGAATCGGGCTTGCCTTTCGGTGATTTCTTTTGTGTGCTGCTGGCAGATGCGGAAGATGTTGAAATATGTGAAGCAGACAATGAGGGCAGCTGGGGCATACAGCATCACCACGATGAACAATGTGAAGTAGGGATTGGTGTGCCAGGACTCTGCACACCACTGAAACACATCTCCATGATATCCAGGTTTGCCCCAGTGGAAGAAGGAAGGCAGGAAGACCAGGGTGGAATATAGCCAAATCAGAAAAATACAAAGGCGTAGTCTGCAGGGAGTAACCAGCGTATTATAGGTTAAAGGCTTAGTGATGGCAATATATCTATCAATGCTGATACAGGCTAGAGAAGCCATGGAGACGCTCTTCAGAACTGACACTACAAAGCCAAATACTTGGCAAGTCATGGCCTCCTCCATAGGAAGAGGGTAGTGGAGCAGCGACAAGGATGGGACCAGGCAGCTTACCCCAACCAAGAGGTCAGCATATGCCATTGTCTGGATAAAATAACTTGTAGTGTGATGGTTCAACAGAGGTGCACAGTGAAACACAAAAATCACAATGATGTTGCCAGAAATAATCAATACGGTTAGAAAGACAACAGTCAGTGCTTCCAAAAGACAAAAACTGACAGTTTCCAAGTAGCCCAGGGCAAGGAGACAGAAAGGGTGGCTGCTCTGACCACCATCCGAGGTGGAGTTCATCTCGCGCTCAGGAACTGGCTCTCACTTCATGCTGCCCAGTTCCCAGAAGCAGCTATTGTCACTGCAGTCAGCTGTGCATGGCTGTGTGTGACAATGCCAGGAACCCTAGTCACCAGGTTCCTGCTCTGCTGCGGTGCAACTTCCCTTTAGATTCTTCCTGGAACAGGGAGAGCCAACCCAGACTTGGCCACACTGCCATGTTCACCATGCACATATCACCAAGGGAGTAAGGCGGACTGGGGACAGTGTCTTCAGGCCAAGTGAGGGTGGGGGGAGAGGCAGAGGGAGGAAGGCTAGGAGCTTCAGCAGGAGTTGTAATGAGTCTCCTCTGAAGAGCTGACAGAAGAAAAGGAGAGAGCATTTTACATTTTGCATTCCACGTCCTAGTCAAAGAACTACTAGCTCTGACTGCCACCCCCACCACCCCTTTACCCTCAGCAGCACCTCCAAAAAGGGCATTTACTCCAGAGGAGCAGTTATACCATACTTCCGAGATCAACATAAAAAAGAAAGCAATTATAGATCCATTTACCCTCATTCTCTTTTATTTAACCTGTTGTGGGAGAATCTCCTTATAGCAATCCTGAAAACATTTGGCTACAATTACCATTGATAAAAATTAACCAAGATTAATTTTCTTCATTAAATCCAATGTACTATCTTACTTCTGAAAACATCTTAATAGAATTTAAATGCTCAGCTCAATTTCAGAGCGTTACCTGTAATTCTGCATGCTGAAATCCAAACAGAAGCCACAATAAACCCCAAACAGAAAGCCTTGCACTGCAGGATTGTGCTTCGGTCCTGTGAGGCAGAACTACAGCACAGAGGGAGGGATAAAGGAGTAGGAGGGGAGCAGGGGGAGAAGGGGCTTGGGAAGAGAAAGAAACGGGGAAGGGAAGGGAAGGGAAACGCTGTGCTTACACACACTCTAGCATCTCGGGCAACTCATTAGAATTCATCGCCGGGGAGAATCTCTGGAGCTTTGAGACCCCACTGTGGGCACTGACTTGAGTTTCCAGCAGTGCAGCGTTTGAAAACTGTCTCCTGTCTGTCTGGAATCCCCCTCTTAGGTAAATGAGTAGGATCCAGACTGCCAGCAAGAAAAATACAAGGATGGATGGGTGGGGAGGGAGGAAAAGGAGGAGGGGATGGGGAGAGAGGGAGGAGTCAGGAGTTGAGCTGAAGCACACGACCAGAGGGTGAGGGGAAAGTCCTATTTTTGTGTACCATTTCCCAAGAACAAAGAACAGTATCAAAGAAAGGAAGTGTGTTAACAGTACACGGCAGTGGAGGAATTCTAACTCGGCTACACAAGACGACTGAACTGTTCAGCCTCAGTTTTCGTTCACCGTTTACTGGGCACTGGCGGTAAGAAAGGGAGCGCTGTTGCTGCTCTTTTGCCTCTCCCTCAGTCTAGTCAGGCGCTGCACCCAAGTGGTAGCCTGAGGCAGCTTGCAGATATTCAGGTACAAGTCTTTGAATCTTAGGGTGCAATCAAATACAATGCAAACTGAAATCATACAGCATTTTGTTTCAGATGTCATAAAAAGTACTCTTCAATAACTAGGAATTGGGTGCCATGCGAATGACATAATTCTGCCTGAATAAAGCCCCACACTCCCAGCAGAGGACAAGAAAACAAATGATGGCATTTGTAATAATCCCAGGAGATCTGCACATCTGAACAGAGCACTCACTATGTGATCCAACTTGCATTCTTACTTTATACATGCTTTCTCATTGTGGGCAAAAGGATGCCTATGATCACAACTCAGTGAAAGGTGAACGGTGAACACTACCACAGGAAAGCAAGGGCCTCAGAACACACAGAAGCACAAGACTGACAGAGTGCCAAGCCTCAGCAGAGAGCAGCAGTGTCTTTCTATAATAAGCCACTGTCACTCAAAGACTATGTGAGGTACTAATTCCTATTCCTACTTCTCCCGGGTCGCTCTCCACACTCATCCATGGTGTGCTGAGGGCTCTACCTCCGAGTGTCTCTTACACAGCAGAGTGGTCTTCTGAGCTGCAGTTTCATAGTCTAGACTCAACTGCAGTCTGAAAGCACCGAATGGGAATCCTGCAGTTTGAGACAGCCCACGTCTATAGAACTTATCACAATGTACTGTTACAGCTATTTTATTATACCTACTATTGGGAACCTCTTACTATGCCTGCTTTGTAAGTTACACTTTATTGAAGGTATGGAAAACACAAAATAGTTACTAGTCTGGTACTATCTAATGCTTTAAGCAACCACTGGAGGTCTCGAATCATGTCCCCAGCAATAAGGGGAGACTTTCTTTGCTACGATCACAATAAGCCACAATTATCTTTTGCCATGCTTCACTGAACCAAAATAATATTCTAAAACTAAAATGATAAACAAACAAGTTAATAACAGTAACAAGGCAGCTGCTTACACTTAATATGACTATGAATCATTCTGAGTACTTCCACTTATTTACCCTATTAATACTAACAATCATACAAGCAAGGTTCTATTATCATCCCATTTTAGCCCAGGGATATTAAATTGCCCATCAGCAGCTAGGAAACAGTGGGGTTAGGATTTGAAGCAAGACAACCTGCCTTTTGTCAGACACATGAAATCATCTTACATCTTGTTTTTTACTTTATTTTATTTCATTTATTTATTTGCTTTTTTTGAGGCAGAGTCTCACTATATAAACCAGGCTGCTCTCAAACTCACGAAAATCAGCCTGCCTCTGCACCACCACGCCCAGTTACACTGCCTTTTAAACCTAAATGTAGAGCTTCGGCTGGGATTGGAAACACAGCTAACCAGTAAAGCACTTGCCTTGTATGTACAGCCAGCAGTGGAAACACAAAATGCTATACAATAAATATGAAATGAAATGATTCAATTTTTTTATCTGGTTACACAAAACCATTAATGTCACTTTCTGGAATTTGGCCCCTGCTGGCTGCTGGCCTTATCTCAGTCTCATCACAGAAGTCACCCAGCATTTCTCACCTCTAACAGTGAGTGCGCCTCCTCAACACTGCAACATGACTTTGTGCCCAATTATCAACCGCCAGGGTGACTTTAGAAGGCTTGGATGAGAAACCTTTTGTTTTGTTTTTCTAGACAGGGTTTCTCTGTGTATCCTTGGCTGTTCTAGAACTTGCTCTGTAGACCAGGCTAGCCTCCAACCGGCCTTTGCCTCCTGGGTGCTGGGATTAAAGATGTGTACCACCACTGCCTGGCTGGATAAGAAACTTTTCATGTCATCTGAATTCTAAAACTTTAATGTCAATTGAATTCTAAAACTCTCATGAAATTTTACTTGTTTATAGTTAACTGCCTACTTTTCTCAGGACTGGTACAGAGACACAATTCTTCTTTTAAGTGAATCAACAACACAAGCCAAATACAACAGAAATTCTGTTTTTAGGTTTAAATAGCTTTCAAATAAAGCTGCAATGATAACTGCTGGTGTACCCACAATACAAGGTAGGCATTCCTATTCTTAAAGTCTAGGACCTAGAAGCAAGCACTGAAAAACTTCCACTAGCCTAAGGTTTCAGAGCACTTATATTTTTATATCATAGTGGTTTAATTGATAGTCTACACAAATCAAACCAAGACAACCAGAAACATCACCATCACCATAACCAAATAGAAAACCCCAAATTAGAAACAGTTCTGATTGCAAGCTTTTAGATAGGGATGTTCAATCCATACCAGGCTAAATGATATATCACTGTGGGTTAAAAAAAAAAAAAAAAAAAGCCAGGCGGCGGCGGCAGCAGCGGCAGCGGCGCATGCCTTTAATCTCAGCACCCAGGAGGCAAAGCCAGAAGGATCTCTGTGAGTTCAAGGCCAGCCTGGTCTACAGAGCAAGATCCAGGACAGGCACCAAAACTACACAGAGAAAATATGTCTCGGGGGAAAAAAAAAAAATCCCCAATACTAACCATTTTAAAATGGTCAAACCAATATACTCACTTTTTTAGAATTCAGGAAACCCTAGCACTTCCTAGACAGATTTGATATGCAGAAACTCAATGGAAAATGGAATGGAAGTATTTTCACAAAGATATGCAGAATATTTATTTACACAAGTAATTTAAAGAGGCCTACTATAGCAACTGCTATATGGAAGCAGTACTACAGAGTAGTTTGTGTGTATGTGTGCCCTGTATTTCATTTATATACTTTTTAGTGTACAAAATAATGGTTTTCATAACATTATACTTGGTGTTCAAATTCCCTCCCACTCCTCTCGCTCATAACCACCCTGCCCCCAGAGTACCAATGGCTCTCTTCTTTTCAGAACATAGAATTTTAAAGGTAACTCACAACATAATGTCTTTCTACTAAGAGAAATTAATTCATTTTTATTTTTATGCATATAAGTGTGCATCTGTTTAAGTTTATGTACACTACATGTGGGCATCTAATACCCTGGAACTGGAATTATAGACAGTTGTGAGTTGCCATGTGGGTGCTAGGAACCAAACCCAGGTCCTCCACAAGAGCAAATAAGCCATCTCTCTCCAGCCCCTATGATTTCTTATACAGCAGGAGTATCCACTTTGAAATGGCAGAATCATAGCCTATATTTTGAAGTAATACTCAAACATACTACAGCAAATTCTCAGTATCCAAAGGGTTCACAGAACCTCTATTGGACCTAAAGTTCATAAATGCTCAAATCCCTTATAGAAAAAGATGCAGTGGGGAACTGGGGACTATGGTAGAGTGCTTGTGTACCATGTCCAAGATTCTGGGCTCAATCTTTAACACAGAGGGAGGAGGAAGTATTTATATACAACATACACAAGATTCCTGTAAGCTGTGCAGTGATGGCACATGCCTTTAATCTCAGCATCAGGAAGGAGAGGCAGGCAGATCTCTGTGAGTTTTGAGGCCAGCCTGGTCTACAGAGTAAGTTCCAGGACAGCCAGGACTATTTTACAAAGAAGCTCTGTTACAAAACAAACAAACAAACAAACAAACAAAAAACCCAAAATGAAACAAAACCCCGATATTTCTGTACACATCAATCCTTTGTAAATTACTTACAATACATAATACAATGTAAATGCTATGCAAATACTTGCTGTTTTATTGTTTAGGAAATAATAATAAGAAAACAGTTTATAAATCATTGATATTGAAGGAAATTTTCAAAAAGATTTTCTATCACTGATGATTAAATCTATGCATACAGAACCCCAAAATGCAGAAACTGCTTTTATCTGATGCCACAATGGCTGGTCCAAGGTACAGAACCTTATTTGAGTTCATAAATGGAAGAGAGGGTGCACTGAACCAGTGCTCAGGCTTCCTAACTCCATGTGCTTCCTGCTAAACAGACAGCCTTTCAGCGCTGGGTACCCAGAGCTACATTCTTGCAATTTCAGTCCTTGCCTATTAAATTCCAGACAGATATTTTAAGAAGGAAAGAGTCTGCTCAGTGATAACACTGTCACTGGTGCATTCTATTCTAGACCTGTAAGATGTGGCTGGGTCCCACAGCTTCCACTACACAAGCAACTAAGAGAGAAAACACTGGTGATACACAACTGCTGCTAGCTTCGGGTCTGGATACGAGCTTGTAATCACAGCAAGTCTTACAACTGAAACTAAAGCTCAGCAGAGAAGGAGCATGGGGGTGGAAAGGATGTGCTGCTGATCCATTAGTCTCTCACTACAAAACGCATTTACTGTACAAGTTTTGCTGTAAATTTTGAATACTAAACATTGAATCAAAAGAAACACTAAGAGGCATTGACAAAATATAAAATATAGTCAAAGACAGAGGGATTGAGGAAGGTTCTGGAAGCTGCAATCAGAAAACATCTTGTTTCCCTTTCATGCTCAACTCCAGCTTTTGTGTTACCAGATTCAAACATAAAAATGAGGCAACAATCAGTGAGGCAGGCTGAGGGAATCACTTCCTGGCCTTCTGTTAAAACAACTGTATTAGAGGTCAGGACCAAAGACCAGAGGAATCTACAACTGCTTGTGCTGGTGTAGTGGTTTATTCTTAGAACTTGGGAAGCAGAAGCAGGTAGATCTCTGTGGGGCCAGCTTTGCCCATACAGCAAGTTTCAAGCTGGCCAAGGCTACACAGTGAGACTCTATCTCAAAAACCAAAAAAATTAGCTGGGCAGTCAGTGGTGGTGCATGCTTTTAATCTCAGCACTCGGGAGGCAGAGCCACGAGGATCTCTGTGAGTTCAAGGCCAGCCTGGGCTACAGAGTGAGTTCCAAGACAGGCTCCAAAGCTACACAGAGAAACCCTGTCTCAAAAAAACCAAAAGAGGGGGAAAAAAAAAACACCAAAAAAATTGAAACAAACAAAAAACCCCAAGTGCATGTTCTGGACTCCATGCAGAAAATGCTTTGGTAACATTTAACATTTTTTTTTTGAGGCTTTATTATTTTTATGCAAGGTAGGGATTGAGATAGGGTTTCTATAGCCAAGGCTGAACTTGAGTTCCTCCTGCCTAAACATCCTTAGTGCTAGGATTACAGGAGCGAGCTAATGACACTAGACTCAAGATTTTTTAAGTAGAACCATAAAACAACTGTAAAAGTGTAATAAATATATAATCCAGGGACACTATCTCCTGTTATTATCAAGCTTTATGGACTATGTGCAACGGTACGTGCTACACTTTTTTGGAACGTGATCAGTAGCTTATGACTTTTCCATGTAACCAGACAACAACACAGGAAGACTCAGCATCTAAGGTTCTTTTATAAGGAAAATTTTTTGACTGCAATACTTTTGTTTTATAGGTATATGAGCATGTACTAATTATATGTAATGACATTACCACATATTGCATTTTCATACAAATACTCCCCTCCTACTCCTGTTGACATCCTTCCTCTTCCCAACTACTACTCTCTTGTACTTTTATGTATACATTTTTCTTCTTGTGAACCAACAAGCTTAACTAGGGTTACTTACAGGAGCACAAATGAAGGGTTATTTTCAGGAGCATGGACCACCCACTAGTGTTTATACCACTGAAGAAAATGTGTCTCCCTTCCACTGTGATCTTTAACTGCTTTAGATCCAAGGGGTTAGGACTTTGTTAGACCTCCTCTGTAGATGGAATGAATACTCAAGGGCATGATCATGGGCAAGTCTTAGGCAGATGTCCTCAGCTACTGAGAGAGTTCAAGAGCGTCATGGCTGGCCGCACTGTACCTGGAGACAACTCTGCCCCATTCCCTTTCTCTCTGGCTCCTACAGCCTTTCCACCTCCGTCTTCTGCAGTGCTTCCTGAGCCTTGGAGGGACGATACAGACGAACTCTTTTCTAGAACCTGTCTCAAAAGCTGTACACCCGATAACATACACCCTGGGGTTCTCCTGAGGAAATGAACCACTCCTTTATGACTCCCACTGTGATTTGTCAGGCAAGTTCAATAAAGAACATTTAACTGATCCTGTATTTAGCTTCTTCAGCCCACAACTGTGTTTATGTTAGACATTTAATTTCTTGAGATCATATCTCCGTTCTGTATGTTATTTTCCTATAAGATTGTTTTGTTAACAGTTTTAAAAAGATAATTTATGCTCCTAATAAGGTTTAAATATTTTCTTAACAAAGTTTTTTTTTGTTTTGTTTTTTAAATTTTTTTTTTTTTTTTCAAGATAGTTTTCTCTGTGTAACAGAACTAGCTGTCCTGGAACTCATTTTGTAGACCAGGCTGGCCTCAAACTCAGAGATCCGCCTGCCTCTGCCTCCCAATTGCTGGGATTAAAGGTGTGCACCACCACCATCCAGCTATTTACCATCCAGCTATTTACAAAGATTTTACCTTTTGTCATACCAAAAGTTCTGATGTTGGGCAGGTGAGATGGCTCAGTGGTTAAAGGTGCCTCAGTCCGAAAACTCCCAGGTTCCACATGGTGAATAAAGAGAATGGGCTCTTACCAGTTTTCCTCTGCCCCCACCCACACATATACTGGGGCACTAGCATGCCAAACAAATCAATACAGATACAAACAAAATAAATACGATGTAAATGAAATTTTAAGAAACTTCAAGTGCTATGGGAGAATCTGCATATTCATAACCCAGACTTCAAATTTACCTACTAGACAAACTACTTAATAGCAGATAAACACTTCAAAATTATGAGAAAACTAAAACCAAACCTAGTTTATGGGTACAAAAAGGCACAAATGCTGCCTAACCTTGTAGGAAATCATTTTACATGTTTGTACGCTGTTCATAGAATATTTTTTTTCTTGCTTTGTTTGTGAAACTTTGAAGAATGCTTCTTCTTGAGCAGGGGACACTGTGCAAACAAGGGTTTTATCTTAGAGGAATGAGCCACAGCAGATTTAAGTGTAATGCTACAGAACTATTTTCTTTTAAGTGTAGAAACTGAAAAAAAAGCCCTCTTTACCAAAGCATATTTGGTAAAATATGAAAAAAAAATTAAAGCTTGGTGTGGAGGCTCATGCTTATAATGCCATCAGTTGGGAGCCTTAGGTAGGCAGACTGTCACAGGTTCAAGGCCAGTCTTGGCTGCATTGTGAGTTCTAGACAAGCCCAGGACCCATTTTAAAAAGCAAACAAACAACAACAACAACAACAACAAAAAAACAACAAATAAATAAAAACCCATGAGAATTAACAAAAACCACATCAACAAAACAAAACAAAACCAACCAAATAAATAAAAACTCATATGAGAATTAAAAACAAAACCCCCACACCAACAATACAAAATATTTGTATACACTGCATAACACAAGTAACGTGGCTCATAATGTTAATCTAGGCTGAAAGGATTGAGACACTTAGTGGGTTTAGAAGACATGTTCTATCACTGAGATAAACTCAACTGAGGAGGTAAACTTTATACATTTGTCTTTGTGCCAAGAGAAGAAACATCTCTGAACTACACTTATTTAAGATAAATTACAAAACATTTGACTATTCACTCTGAAATTCATATCCTCTCTGACCTTGGTGATGAGAATTCGGTACTTTTCTACTAAGTGGTCATTGTTGTGGCAGCCTGCTAGCAGCTGCCAGACTTCTCCACGAAGAGCTTCTGGGACACCACTTCTCACTAAGGATGGCAACTGCTTCGGTCTCACATTCAAGTTGAGATGCCTAAAAATAAAGCCGCAATTCATTACTTCATTAAAGGAAGATGCTCTGGAAATGCCTTAATGAAAAGGAAACGGTTTACAAAGACCTGAGAAGCTGACACAGTAATAATAACTGAAGCAGTAACATGGCACCTGCAAACCACTCTAAGTATCTCTATTATTATTATTTTTAGTTTTTCAAGACAGTTTCTCTGTGTAGCTTGAGTGCCTGTCCTGGATCTTGCTCTGTAGACTAGGCTGGCCTCGAACTCACAGAGATCTGCCTGGCTCTGCCTCCCGAGTGCTGGGATTAAAGGTGTGCGCCACCACCGCCTGGCTGTAAATAAACTTTTACTGACATACAATTATGAGGTTTTTCCTGGTTACTATTTATGATTGTTTTGATTTTCAGTAGCAGAGGTGAGTAGTTGTGACAGACTGTCATTGGGCGACAATGTCTTAAATATTTGCTATCTGGTCCTTCACAGAAAATTCTGGTAACCCTAACTTAAATTTCTTTCAGAATGACTTCAGCCATTGACAATATTAACTCTACATATAACTAGCATACTATTTTATACTAAGGCCATCGGTGCTCCTATCTTCCAAGAATCATATTCAAATGAGCCTGCAAAGTGACACACAAAGATACTTACTTACTAATACTGTATGAAAAATCTACTTTTATAAATAAACTAGCTTCAGGATCAGACTTGTTTGTTATGTTAAAAAGTTCTGGCTCTGCATATTAGAATGCTTAACCTGTGTGTGAAAAAGCAGAAGTCTGTCATATTATAGTTGAACGAGTGCATACAAGTTGGCACTGTGCTTGGTGTATGGTAAATGTTTACACTAGGATTACTACAACCTTGAAATCTAAAATTTTTAACAATAGGACTCTAGTAATTTTACAAACTTCTGAATTCCATGCTCTTACAATGCTTACTATCCACAGAGCACAGACAAAAACAATGAGATGGGTGGGAGAGGACAGATTATCACGTGTCTGAAGACAAGACTCCAACAGCAGAAGCAACTGAAGCCCATCTGAGGACAGCACAGACGGGAGCTCAGGTAACACACTGGAGAGAGTGGGGGACAGCTGGTTATGAGGGACAAAGTTTGACAACAAAACAAAGACATTAAACAAAATGTGCTGGATTCATAGAATTCAAACAGCCAGCCTGGTCTACACAGTGAGTTTCAGACCAGCCTGGGCTATAGAGTGGGTTCCAGGACAGAAAGTGAGCTCTCGACTGTAAATACTGTGGAGATGACTTTAAATATGCTATTATTAAATTATGTCAATACTGATTTCAATGCTGGTTTAGACCAGAAACAAAATTCCTGCATCAGCAGTCCACACACTCTAAACTCACTGAGCTGAAACTGAACCTGATAGATGTATCAGAAGAATGACTCTTGATAGTATAACATCAAAATTTAAGAAGAAACATTCCCAAGGGCTTTTGCATAGTTCATGTATTACAGGCCACGTGTCTAAAGACAATGCATGATTTGGTCTGCCATTTTCTTTTGTACATATTTGACATTTCCCAATGCAGACAGTGTTTTGTCCAAAGTGTAAAGCATTGTGAGAGCATCATCATGTGTAGTGCTGGCCCTTACGGCCATGAAATCTGCTGAGACACAGCTTTACTAAAAACACAGTGAAAGACTTAACAGACAAAACTTCTAAAAGAAGAAGCCTAATGCATGATGCCCATAGGGGACTTTAATGACCTCAACAACCAGAGCATCTGCAATACAGACGTGAGCAGAGCACTTTCAAACTTAGCTTTTTCCTCCAAGACATCCTATCAAGGAAAAAAAAGATACTACATATATGTTTCTTCAGAGTACCTCTAATTATGCTAATCAACACCTGAAGGCAATATACTCTGTGTAAATATGCTGAAGAATAGTGCCTCCTAACACTGTTGTCAAACTCTTTGTTTGTTTGTTTTTAGACAGGGTCCTGACTGGCCTAGAATTCATTATGTAGACCAGGCTGGTCTCAAACTCACAAAGGTCCTCAACCTCCTGAGTGCTGGTATTTACTATTTATTTATTTGTTTGTTTGTTTGTTTGTTTATATGTATTTACAGAGTTTCTCTGTATAAAAGCTCTGGATGGCCTAGAATTCATTATGTAGACCAGGCTGGTCTCAAACTCACAGAGATCCTCGACCTCCTGAGTGCTGGGATTTACTACTTATGTGTTTGTTTGTTTATTTACTTACTTACTTACTTATTTATTTATTGACAGCGTTTCTCTGTATAAAAGCTCTGGCTGTCCTAGAACTCGCTCTAGACTAGGCTGGCCTCAAACTCACATAAATCCGTCTGCCTCTGTCTCCTGAGTGCTCAGATTAAAGGCATGTGGCACCATGCCTGGCGAGTGCTGATATTTAAAGGCATGAACCACTATGTCCAGCCAAATTCTTGGGTTTTATACACAATTTTGCATATAGCCCAGGCTGGACTTGAAGTTTTAATCCTCCTGCCTCCACAGCTCAATGCAGAGACTGTAGACATGTTCCACCATGCCTATCTTGGGAATCAGCCACGTTTTATTTTGGCTGATTTTTATTTTATTATGGCCTGGCAAGTATTCTACTACAGAATTATATTCCCAGACTAAGCCTAAATTGGGAACATATAAATTAGGCAGTGGCAGCACATGTCTTTAGTCCCAGCACTCAGGAGGCAGAGGCAAGTGATCTCTGTGAGTTGGAGGCCATCCTGGTCTACAGAGTGAGTTCCAGGACAGCCAGAGCTGTCACAAAGAGAAACTCTTGTCTCAAAAAACAAAACAAAACAAAAACCACATGGGAACATACATATAACATAAAAATAATGGATACAGCAAGGCACCCATATCATGCTTGGGATACTTTGCTTTGCCATTCCAGGTATCATATGTAACAGAGGTAAAGAAAAACTCTACCTGAGGTTTCTACTATGTAAAACACACACACACACACACACACACACACACACACACACACACACACACACACACACACACAGAGTTACCATCTTCTAAACTTTTCTAATCATTAGGTATTAGCACTGGGAGTATAATTTTTTTCCCTCTTAACAATTTAACAGATTTATTTAGAATTGTTGTAAAAGGTGAACTGTTGTTTTGTTCACAGAAGTACTCTGACTTACATCAATGCTTTTTTTGCCTCACACTTATATTAAAATTTCCCACACAAACGGCAATGGGAAAACTGCCAATATCTGATTTCTGTCCCCAATTTTTCTACTTGCCAATTGTGCTTAGATTCCTTTAAACTCCATGGGGAAAATTATCTAACACTGGGAATTACCAATAATTGGAAGAGAGGAAAACACATTGTGAAGATGAATCCCATCACAGTGGTTTCTTAAGCAAGTTCACCACGTGCATGGTCTGCTAACAGGGTGTTTCTGGTGGTGTAACTGATAAACATTTGGCCTGGATAATATGCAGATTGGTATCTTCACAAAGGTAAACAAGACAGGCCTCATCTGCCTCCTGCACAGCACCCAATAGCTACATTTTGGAAGCACATATTGGTTTTGAAACCCTAAGGAATTTCTTACACCAGAGGCTGTAAGGATGTCTAAATTCTAAGTCCAATGGACTCCTGATAGCATCTAATTTCAGAATACCATAGAATCAGGCCTGTGACCATTACTTTCCTTACCTCTCTAGTGGAGGGCACACTTTTACAAATAGATTTTGTAGCCTCAAGTAGATTTGTGGGGCAGTCTCCTTTGTGCAAGTCATTGTACAGAGACCTTATACTCCTTCAGTTAGAGCTTGGCAAGTGAGGCAGCTCTGGCTGAGAGAATGGGGTTGGCAGCTACAACACAGCTCTGCTGTTATCATCTGCCAGCCGGTCAGTCCTATCTTCTTCACTGCCAGGACCGACTGATCTCTCCCTCTCGACTCTGTATTCCATGTCTGAACATTTTTCTATCAATGAGACTTTCCTAGGCTTCTGCTAAGTCTCAAACTGATCCACATCTCCAATGTTATCCTTATAAATGTCTATTAGATTCTAGAATGAGGCTTTACTTGCAGATTTCTGGTATCGGTTCTAGATTCAGAACTAGGTAAGATTCATCAGAGTGACGGATGCACAGCAGACCAATTCTGTAACTCACCATTTTGACAGGAGTTCTCCCCATGTTTCAAGAATTTTTTCTGCACATTCTTTGGACACATCACCAAATCCACTCAAGAGAGGTTCATCGTTATCTGCAATAAGCAAAATTCATATTTATAAAAAAAATGGGAATATAAAAATCAAATGCAAACTTTTATTATGTATTTATCTTACTGTATATTTAAATTATTATAAAGTCATTAATATATGTTCTTAGTATTGATGTATAAATGTATGAACCCTGTCTAAGGTACAATGCTTTTATAACCTGTTTAATTCTCCTTTGCTTTCTATCTAAGTCTTTATTATGTCAATTATAGGAAAGAGTCATTTATCTATAAAATAAACAACTCAAAATGTGGAATGTTTTTCTCCTTTTCTAAGCACATAGTTTTATATACAAACACACTTAGCAGTTTTATTTAAAATAGTAAACAACAAACTTAGTTACCTAAGAGTCTAATAAAGGAGTAGTGGTAAGTGATGTTTTGTTGTTGAATCTTCTCTCCTGTTCGTCTCCCCAACACTCTTTCCCCACTTTTACATTTACATATTTTACAATGCTGTAATGATGCCTAATACTTGCATACTAATTTAAAAAAATAATGAATTATGACATGTATACAATATAACGAATGCAAGTGTTTGTGTTTACATCATGATATAATAAACATACGGAGACTGAAATTGCCAGTGTGATCTGCTAAAACACCAAGCAGATGGCAGTGAGCACATTAAGACATTAATATCACTACCTGAGGGAATTATGAATTATCATAAATATTTTTCTCTTCTTTCATGTTACAACTTTCTAAATGTTCCACAGAATGACATTAATTTATAACAGAAAACAGAACATAAAAGGACAAAATTAATAATTTAAAATTTAAATAACTAAAATTAACTAATTAAGAATTTAGAGGGTGATAGAGAGATGGCACAGTGGTTAAGAACAGCAGCTACTCTTCCAGAACCTCATTTTAGTTCCCAATACCCATATGGTGGCTCATAACCATCTGTAACTCCAGTTCCAGGGGATCTAAAGCCCTTTTCTGTCCTCCTTGGACACCAGGAATGCACATGGTGTACAGACATACATGCAGGTAAAATATCCATACACACTAAAAACATAATAAAACTTAATCAAGAATTTAGGGAATATAAAATATGCAGGTGGTAAAGTAAGGCTGAGGACATAGCTCAGTTACAGACAAAATCTGAGACCCTGGGTCACACCCAGCACCAAACCTTAAGAAACAGAAGGTGACAATGGCTATTATCTACTTAATCCTCTTTCTGGACACTGCAAGGTTCTCAATGCTTTGCTTTCAGTAGTTAGGATAATGTTGTTTCACTGCTTTATTAGTCATATGCCTAGAAATGTACTTCCTAAGGTAAAAACACCATTACTATTTAGGACTTAGTAAGTACCTGACCAATTGCCTTCTCAAACAGTTGTACTAATTTACATTCTCACTAAGTGGGTGTACAGCACTTGTCTTCACACATTTTCACAGCCAAACTGTGAGGATAGCATCACCGTACACCTCTCCTCAAGAGAGGACTACCACAAAGCACTGACTTTAAAAGCTCATAAATCTTTGACACCTATTATTAAACTTCCTACATGGTAACATTTTGGATTTTATCATAGTTTTGATTGTGAGATAAGGGAAAGACAGACTGAATATAAATGAGATATTTCTGTATTATTAAGAAGAGAAAAAGCTCAAGACACTTAGGTCAATTTTTCCAAACTCATTAGGACGCCAGAATGACACTACTTTGTAATTTCTCAATTTCCCATTCATTAAAACATCCATCATACAACCTGGGAAGAAGACAAAAAGATGTGCTAAAATGGGCTGGGTGCTGCTGGTGAGATCCAATCATACAATGAAATCTGTGTAATGTCAAGAAAAATGTGCTAACATTTACATGGGGTGTTAAGTCCTTCATAAGCAGTAGGAAGATCTATCTTTCACAATTCTCTCCTACTGCTCTAAACCCTTCAAAAAATCTCAACAGTAATGGGGAATTTGTCATTGGAGTCCCAGGTACACAGGTCAGAGGCAGAGAAAGGGATGCAAAGTCATTTCAAGTTTCAGAATACTGTTTTGTAAGTGCTCTATTTCCTGTCTGATGTCTTGTGGGGGAGACACCTCTCTGGAAATGAGACCTTTTCCTCAGGAACCACCTATAACTTGGAGTGTCACTGAATCTAATACCCTCTTCTAGTGTGCAGACATATATGTAGACAAAACACCCACATACATAAAATAAATAAATAAATCTAATAGAAAGAAGAGAGAGGTTTGCCAGGGGAATGTCAAACTGCACCTGACTTAAAAAAACAAAAAACAAAAAACAAAAACAAAAAAAACCATGGGTCTTTTTTGCATTTCAGTGATTTATGATAACTAAATGCAGAAGATGAAAACAGACTTCAACTCAGACGGTAAGTACATGAATTTGATTCAAATTATGACTGCCATTTTCTACGCATGTAGCCTGAAATGTACTTTTCTCTGATTTTACTTCTTGATGTGAAAAATGAGGACAATAATAATTTCTATTTTTTAGGCTTACTGTGAGGATTATGAGAATAAGGCACCTTGCTACCACACAATAAGCATTTAATCATTAGACATTAATAGTCCTAAAAAAGAACATAAGGTGAATAACCACAAGACAGAGGGACTTACAGCCCCCATCCCAAGAAAGAGTACCTAAAAAGCCAGTGCTTACTCTAACTTGAAAATGCACACACGATCATAGGTATTTATGTCTTTTAACAAAGTTAATCATTCCTTGCACCTCTATTTTTTTGTTAATGTGATTTCTTAGCCAGAAATGTTCAGAGAAGCCCATTCATCACCACTGAGTTTTTGCACTTTCAATTCCAGCTCAAAAATTACTCTTATGATGTTCCACAAACTCCTTACAGTGAAAAATGAATTTTACAAATTTTGAATGAACTTCACAGATTCAAACTCAAATGATCTACTATCATCATCAGTTTCCTTCATTACAAATGAAGCCCTTGTACTGTTAGGAGCTAGACAACCATGGAATGCTTTCCTCTTCTGTGCCTGAGACTTCCTCTAGTCTCCACTTCTGTGTATTGCCATTAAATAGTGACCAGATTATAAAATCTCATTTTCCCCAATCTGGTTCCAAGTACCTTAAAGAATGCCAAATGTGGGCTGGTGAGGCGGCTCATTGGGTAGAGGTGCTTGCTGCTATGCTTGGTGACCTCAGGGTAATCCCTGCAACCCACAGGGTAAAAGGAAAGAACAGATTCCAACCAAGTTGCCCCCTGACCTTCACAGGTACACTGTTATACAAGTACAAAACACATGTGCACAGAGAAATAAATACACAGAGAGAGGTGGGTGGGGCAGGCCAATGTCAACTATTTCCAGCCTCTCCTTGTTGCTTGTCTATGGGGGATGCTCACAAGTGCTCATGGAATGAACTCCAATACCACATCCCACCACCAGCCCCCATGAAGATGAAGCTGCAGTAGTGTGGACAGCCCTCTACCCTACACACAAACCAACGTATCTACACTTACCTTCTTCTTCATCATCTTCTGGAGGAGAGGGGATCATGGAGCTCTGGGATCCAGACTGTGGCAGGCGAGCTGAAGGACTGGCTGTAGTTTTCCTCCGCTCTCTCTCTGACTCACTTTCCAAACACACAACTTCATATAAAGTGTCAGCATTATTCTTCCACTCCTTCTGCTTTATCTTGACAACAAAAGAAAGAATAGATTATGTAGCAAATTTCTTTGTTTTAATTATCACTTTTGATTTTGTATTGAATGTAAGAATAAATGGTGTTTTCTTGAATTCTACATCAAATGTAAACTTTATCAAGTAGAAAAGCTTATGTTAAGACGTAAACCTTTCCCAGCACTCAGGAGGCAGCGGCAGGTGGATCTCTGTGAGTTTGAGGTCAGCCTGGTATACAGAGTGAGTTCCAGGACAGCCAGAGCTACACAGAGAAACCCTGTCTTGAAAGACCAAAGGGGAAAAAAAAAAAGAAGAAAAGGAAAAAAAAAAAAAAAAAAAAAAACTTAAACCTCTTGGGCCTGGCATGATAGTATACACCTTTAATCCCAGCATGTGGGAAACAGAAGCAAGTGGATCTCTGTGAGTTCAAAGCTAGCCAGGGCTACATAGAAACCCTGTCTCAGACAGACAAACACAAAAAACCTGTTAAAAAAAATTGAACACTTTAAGTGTTTTATAGTTTTATCTGTCATTAAAATAATCACCAATATTTAGTTAATGTGAAAGCTAACTGTTCTGTGTCTTTCCAATAAATTTAAGGTGTCTTTTCAGGTTTCCTACTTAAAATCACATATCAAAACAGTTCATACAATCTAAAAATTTAGCTCTAAGAAAATCCTATTTTTCTCTTGGTTAATTCAAATAGTACACAGGAGATTTTTTAACTCCAAAGCTACAATTCAGGGTGGGAAAAGGACAATGAGTGGGAATGAACAGCCAAAAAGACATCAATAAAAATCCCAACAATTTTGCTAAGTGAAATCAACCTAGACATTGGTTTTTACTTTTAGGCAAGCACTGTAAACAATTTACAAAGGCCTAATTAAAGAAAAATAAGACATACATATACAATCCTGTCAGTATAATACATATTTTCAACACCATAACATTCTTATTTATTGCCAGTTGGAGGAGAAGAGAAGGTTCAAGTGAGATATGGAGAACGAGGCTGAAGGCACAGAAAGGTGCACGCACAGCAGACAGACAGTGGAGGACGAGGACCTCCACAAGGTGCAGGAACACCAGAGTGACTCTACCATCCCAGTCTCCACTTGGCTCTTCCTTAGAAACATTACCCCATCATGAAGCACAGTTTAATACAGGAGTCAGCCTGAAGGCCAGCAGTCCCTGCTGCAGAAGCATCTCTGCCGGAGAGGCCAAGCACAGCCACACAGTAAGCACAACAAAACCTCACCAACAGTAACCGTGCAGGGCAGACAACCAGAGGCTGTCTGACTAGTTAACACCTGACTCCAGGATTGCTGAGCTTTCTAGACTAATATATTTGTTTCTAATTTAGCTGCTCATAATTAATAAAGGACTCTGGTTCTGTGAGGTGACATAGCAGCCTGCAGGTTTGTGTCTAGGATATATGAAAATGATTTCTGTCAAATAGAAAAGACAACCCAAAGGTGACCTATAGGATATTAACCTTAGTAATCTTAATGTAACTTTTTTTAAAAAAAAGAAGGACTGCATAGTCCCAAGATCTTAAATACTTAAGTTTTATCATCTTACTGGTTAATTCATTAGTGAACTATATTAAAATCCTTGATACATATTCATCCTGAGTTGTAAACTTCCCTGATAGGAAAATACTATTTAAATCTTTTGTTTTGATGTAAGTTTGTTAAATTGCTCTGAAAATCAAACCAAATACAGTCTCACTGTGCAGCCTGCTAGTTTGAAGACACCAACAGAGATCCACTTGCTGTTGCCTTCCAAGTGCTAGGTTTAAAGACATGCACCAACGTGCCTGGCCTTTATTGCTCTTTAAAACATCACTTAATTGCTATCTAAAACACTCCAAATATTAGCAACACCTACTAAAAGAATACAAAAACAAGTAAACATTTGTTTCTTCAAAACTACAAAAATAAGGTAACCAATATTATTCACCTAGAAAGTCCTCTTTAACAACAATATGCCTTGTGAAGTTATACAGAGTTGAGAATGGGATCAGGCTGGTAAGTTAATAACATCGCATGTGAAAATATTCACTGTTCAAGGGCACAGGATTCATTATACTACTTAAAAAACTTCTGGGGGCTGGAGAGATGGCTCAGAGGTTAAGAGCACTGGCTGTACTTCCAGAGGTCCTGAGTTCAATTCCCAGCAACCACATGGTGGCTCACAACCATCTGTAATGAGATCTAGTACCCTCTTCTGGCATGCAGGCAGAACACTGTATACCTAATAAATAAATAAATCTTTAAAAAAAAAAAAAAACCCAAAAACTTCTGTTTGAATTTTCTATAATTAAAAGCTTTTAAATTTACATTTTGCAATACATCTTTTATAAATATTGAATAATTTAAATATATAAGTTTCTAAACTGTTATCATACATTCAAATAAACAAAAATAAATTACAATATATGTATTGTATACAATATATAAATTATATAATTATAAAAAAAATCAATCTGATAGGACAAAAGAATAGACATGGATAGATGAAGACATCTCCTGTTCCTGGGTAAGATGATGTCTCCTTAATAGAAGTAACCTTTTCCTAGAGCTAAACTAGTGGATTCTAACCTTTATTTAAAAAATAAAAGTATGTAGGAAAGTCCATAAACACCGGAGTATTTAGAGAAGGAAAGTGACCCACCACATATAAAGACATAAAGTCTTTGACATCAATGCATTACCAATGGATCAGGAAGGAAAAACCCCCAAAGAGGGCCAAACTTACATGAAAACAGGATAAAGGGAGCATCATAAATCACCGGACATTATAATGATTAATGAATTTCTCCTGGACAACTGGATGGCTCTTGGGAGACAGTCAGCCCCACATTTCAGTGAAGAGCAGGATCACTACACCAAAAACTAATGAGTCATTGTTCTAGAAACATCATGACAGCAAGTCATAGAAAATGTGAAAGTTATTTTTAACTTTTCAATTTTGATGCCAAATTCACAAGTTTTAAAAGGAAAACTTGATAAATTGAAGTACATAAAAAGAAACTATGTGACAAACTAAAAATGCTGATACACACCAAAGAAAGAGACGGGAGAGGGGTATGGAGGAAAAAGGAAAAGAAAAAACCCACAGTACTTAGAATCTACAAAATGTATTATACCAAGAACTATCAGCTACATACAAAGGGGGAAAAGAGAAGAGCCAGTGAACCCCACTTTAACTGATCACACTGCTACTGAAAGCTGTGCAAAAACCCGGTACCATGCATTTCCTAAATTAGCAGTGAAAGAACTCTCTAGTCTATTAAAACATGCTGAATCCTAGGAGCTGGAGATAATATAGGTCAGCAGTGCAGACCATTGGCTGCTCTTCCAGAGGACACGACTTTGTTTCCTAGCACCCATATGGTGGCTCATAACGATCTGTAATTTCAGTTCTAGGAGATCAGACATCCTCTTCTGGCCTCTTTGGGCACCAGTCACCCAAGTGGTATACTGTAGCATACAGACATTTATGAGGGCAAACATCAACAGACATAAAATAAACATTTTAAAAATTGATTTTTAAAAAAATGTTGGGATATTTTTTTTTAATTTTATGTGTATAGTATGTCTGTGGTGTACATATGTATGTAATATGTATTATATATGTCTGTGGTGTATGTGTGTATGATATATGCACATGCCATGTCTGTGGTATATGTGTGTCTGTGTGGTATGTCTGTGGTGTGGGTGTGTGTCTATGTAGTATATCTGTGGTACATGTGTGTCTGTAGTGTGTGTGTGTGTGTGTGGTGTGTGTGTAGTATTCGGTGGTATGTATGACTGTGTAGTATGTCTGTTTTATATGTGTGTCTGTATATCTACGAAGTATTCTGTGGTGTGTGTCTGTGTAATGTGTGTGTGCGAGAGAGAGAGAGAGAGAGAGAGAGAGAGAGAGAGAGAGAGAGAGAGAGAGAGAATGCACATGCAGAGATCAGAAGAGGACTTTATAGCTGTACTGCTCTATCCCTCTCCACCTTACTTCCTTGAAACAGGATCATCCACTGAACTAGAAACTCACCTTCTCCGCCAGGCTTGCCTTGGCCCCTCAATAATTGGGTTCTAGGATTGTGGGGCCATAGCCACCCATTTACGTGGGTGACAGGAATTCAACTGAGATGCCCATGCTTGTTCAGTAGGCACTCTTAGCCACAAAGCCATCTCCTCAATACCCAAATTTGGCAGATGTGTACATATTTATTGCATATGCAATGTACACACACACACACACACACACACACACACACACACACACACACAGAGTAAACTAGAACAAAAGGCCCAGGTTATCAGCTCTAGTTACAGTAATTATTTACCTCTATGACTTTGGTGGCATCATTTAAGTTTCTCAGCTAATATTAACTTCATTTGTAAAATAACAATTACATACAAGATTAGATTCCTTACAGCTTATTTGGCAGTGAGAAGTCTGTAATTTATTACTATGTGTGAGTGTGAACATGCATGCATGTGGACGTCAAAGGGCAGTGCTGAGGAATTACTTTCCTGGTATCTAATTGTTTGTGCCACACTGCTGGCCCTGCATCTTCTGGACTAATTTCCTGTCTCTGTCTCTCCTCTGGCTGTGGGAGTTCTGGGATTACAGACATATATGATCACATTTGGCTTTTTTACATGGCATTCAGTAATCAAATATGAGGTATCTTGCCAGCCCCCAAATGCTATAGTTTAATATTTATCTTTTCATTTTTTAAAAATTTTTTACCTGCAGAAGTCAGAAAAGGGTGATGGATTCCCTGGAACTGGAGTTACAAATGTTAGCTGTGGTACATCTCTAAGAGCAACCTGTGCTCTTAACCCCTGACCCATCTCTTCAACTCCTTTCTCTGTCTCTTTAAAACTTATGATTATTCATTTATTATGGGAATGTATGATGTGCATGTGTGTCATGCCACAGCCCTGTGTGAAGCAGAGAGGACAATTAACAGGATTAGGCCCACAAGTTTATACTGCCAAGAATATCTG